GATCCGCTTCCGTGGCGTGGATTGGACAGAGGAAGAGGAAGATATTTGCTACCGATTGTTTTTAAAAAAGTGCCGTGAGAAGGCAGACATACACCAAGGCCATGTGTTCAATTCCTTGTGGGCAGAAATTTCAAGATTACTGAACCATGTGCCGAGTTATGCATTGAAGAGCTATTGCCCAAGGCCGGCGAAAGATTCAGCGGCTCAGAAATTATTTCGATGAATGTTCTGCTTTTTTGAGGATTCCAGGCATCCTCTTGCGTCCTGGTTCAGGCTTGGTAGAGGTTAACCACATGTACTGAGTGCATGTGCAGGATGAGGTAAATTTCATTTGATTTTTTACTTTAGTTTGTTCAAGCATGCATTTTTGTGACGCGGCCATAATAACCTAAAAAGATTGAAATTTATTACACTGGAGACAGACTCACAGGCATTTTTCCATTCGAAAGGATTCCCCTGGTATCGTGAGTGTTACGAGGTTTTTACCGAGTGCAACGCAGCCGCGATCAACTTGGAGGGCGGGCCTGGTGCTTCGGTTGACGACCCAATCTGGGGGGAAGACATAGACGATGACGGTGATGATCAGAACCATCAGCCACCACCAAAGGTGGAAGTCATCTATCTCGACCCTTAGAATCCACTGGACATGTAATCAAAACTTGTTTGGCTTATTTTGTTGGACTTACTGCAGCAATAATAAATATTTTTTTTCTTCTGTCAAGTATATGAGTTTAATCATGATTCATATGTCTAAACAAAACAAAGTGCGATAAATCGCATTGTGTTCCCAGCAAAATCAGCGACAATATTCGAAGGGAAATTATTATTAAAAGGAATTTCGCAGAACTGTGAACAAAGTGCGGAAATCGCATTGTGTTCGCGTAACGTAATGAAAAAAATAAATAAAAGTAATTTATATTTTGTAATCGCGTCTCCAGGCCAGATCAACCGCATCATTTAGGATATGTGAAAAACTATCGCGTAATTAGATTATCGCATATCCAAATCGAACGCTGCATTATTTATGAGTATGTGGCATATGTTCGCATAATTTACGATTCTCATATCCAAATCTATAAGGCTAGATAACTATCGATTATGGGTATTGTTTTCGCATATTTAAGAATCGCATATCCATATAAACCTCGCATAATGTATCAATATGAGAACACATTTCGAAGTGTTACGCATCGCATTGGTTGACTGCTTTTTTTCACCTAATAGTTATTTTCAATTTATTATTAATTTAGTCAAAGAACAAGAATTTTCCAAAAATTATTATTTACCAATTCGGGGATTAATATGCGACGTTTGTATGTCGCAATTTCGTATGTCACATAATAGAAAATTTACAAAAACAAACTTAAAAAAATATATATTATAGTACGAGTGTTATGCGGTTTTGTTTCGAGTAATAATCGTAGGTTCATTCGCCTAATAGTAGTCTTCAATTTATTAGTAATTTAATCACAGACCAACTTTCCAAAAATTAAATTTAATAAAATTAATTATTTACAACTCGGGGACTAATATGCGACGTTTGTATATCGCAATTTCGTATGTCGCAGAATAGAATATGTACAAAAACAAACTTAAAAAATATATCTTATTCGTTATAGTACGAGTGATATGCGGTTTTTATGCGAAATTGTTTCGAGTAATAACCGCATGTTCATTCGCCTAATGGCTAATAGTAGTCTTCAATTTATTTAGTAATAAAGTCACAGACCAAGAACTTTCTTTTATTTTTTCAACGAAACGATAGATTAAATAACTACAGATTCACAATGTTCGATGGCTAACTAGCCATAACAAGGAGCATCACCCCATGGTGTCCTAAATAATAAACAACCAATACATAGAGCAACAGGAGAGACAAAGAACTTTCAAAAAACTAATTATTATAAAATTAATTATGAACCAATTCGGCGAATAATATGCGACGTATGTATGTCGCAATTTTACATCGACACAACTACTTTACATCGACTGAAATAGTTTACATGTAACCTTACATCGGCATAAACGAATTACTAGATAGAGGCGGCTACGACAGCGAGTTGAAACAACAACTTGAAAGATCAGAAACAATTGGATGCGTGTGCCGAAGGTTTCAAAATCGAGAGGCTAGGTAAGTTGATGGGATCGGTCCATCAAGTTAGCTTCAAAAAAAAAACCATCCATTGTTTGACTTTCAATCTCTATTTTCACATCTGTCTACAAGTGGAATGTATACAGAGGTTGACGGAAATGGACGATGTGATGTATACAGACGTTGAGGGAATTAGAAGATGGGATTTATCACTTTCGATCAATATAAGTGTCCGTACTAATATTTCATAAAGAGATTTAATGGTCAATCACCTTTGTCTTTCAAGGCGTGATCCCTTTCACCGTCGTAGGCGCCTTAGTCTAGTATACCTAGGAAGACCAAGCAATTCGCCAGAGATTCCACGCCTTCCTAAACACATGGTCGCGTCCAAATTGTTCAGCCTACAATTTTGCAAAGCTCCCAATGTGAGGTGACCATGTGCCTGGGCAGACATGGGATCTCCAGGGCGAGTGCATGGACTTCCTGGGGATCCTAGATTAGGGAGGCTACGATGGAGAAAGAGAGCAAGCCTTCAAAGACAACAAGAGGATCAAGACCCTTCACTGAATTCTTTAACTTTCAATTTTCTTCAACAAGACGGACAATGCAGACTGTACGGCAGGTTGAGGAAAATCGAGAGTTGAAGAATTGAGAGAAAGTCCTGATCCTAATTCAATTGTCTCATCTCAGCTACCTTTATAGAAGACTCAAGAAGATATCTATCCTCCTTGATACACGCGCCGTTATTATGCGCCGAAGACTGAGGGGACGTTTCGGAGAAGAGGCGACTCTTCAAATTCGCAGAACTGCGAACAGAATGCGATGAATCACACTTCATTCGCATAACGTAATGACAATAAATTACATTCTATTTCGCATAACTGGTCTGGGTATACTGAAGAAGATATATCTATCCTCCTTGATAGGCGCACTGTTATTAATGCGCCGAAGACTAAGGGGAGTCGTTTCAAATTCGCAGAACTGCGAACAAAATGCGATGAATCGCACTTCATTCGCATAACGTAATAACAATAAATGATTTCGCATATCTGGTTTAAAGAAGAGATACTCATGAAGATATCTATCCTCCTTGATACGCGCGTCGTTATTAATGCGCCGAAGGTAGGCTAGAGATGAAACCCAAGAGAAACACAAAAAGACTCGAACCGAAAGGAAGACATCGAAAACAAAAAAATAAAAAATAAAAACGAGAGAGAGAGAGAGAAAGGAGCAAAAGTCACGGCTCTGGCACGTTGATAGCGAGCCTCCAAGCGCTCCTATCCACCGCTAGATCCTTGGAGATATTCCAATCTATAAGGTCTCTCTTAACCGAATCTTCCCAAGTGAGTTTAGGCCGACCTCTACCTCTCTTAACATCCTCGACCCGCTGTAGAACTCCACTACGCACCGGTGCATCAGGAGGCCTCCGTTGGACATGTCCAAACCACCTCAGCCGATGTTGAACCAATTTCTCCTCAATTGGAGCCACCCCGACCCTATCTCGAATATCCACATTCCGGATTCTATCCCTTCTTGTGTGCCCGCAGACCCAACGCAACATACGCATCTCTGCTACACTTAGTTGTTGGACATGTTGCCTTTTTGTAGGCCAACATTCAGCACCGTATAGCATCGCCGGACAAATCGCCGTCCTATAGAACTTACCTTTTAGCCTTTGTGGCACCCTCTTATCACAGAGAACGCCCGACGCCTGACGCCATTTCAACCAACCGGCTGCAATTCTATACCTAACATCAGCATCAATGCCGCCATCCTTTTGTAGCATCGATCCCAAATACCGGAAAGTCTCCTTCTTGGCCACCACTTGCCCGTCAAGGGTAACGTCACCATCATCATGTGAAGCCATGCTGAAAGCACACGTCATGTACTCGGTCTTCGTCCTACTAAGTCTGAAGCCTTTCGACTCTAACGCGTCCTTCCACAGCTCCAACTTCCTATTTACCCCTGCTCTACTCTCGTCAACTAGCACCACATCATCAGCAAAGAGCATACACCAAGGGATATCACTTTGTATGTCCCTTGTGACCTCATCCATCACCAAGGCAAATAGATAAGGGCTCAATGCTGACCCCTGGTGTAGTCCTATTTTAATTGGGAAGTCGCTGATGTCGCCCCACATGTTCGGACACACGTCATCGCATCCTTGTACATATCCTTGATGAGGGTAATGTACTTAGATGGGACTTTGTGCTTTTCTAAGGCCCACCACATGACATTTCTCGGTACTCTGTCATAAGCCTTCTCAAGGTCGATAAAGACCATGTGCAAGTCCTTCTTTTGGTCCCTATATCTCTCCGTCAACTGACGTATTAGGAAAATCGCCTCCATGGTCGACCTTCCAGGCATGAACCCAAATTGGTTTTGGGTCACACTCGTCACTCGTCGTAGGCGATGCTCGATAACCCTCTCCCAGAGATTCATCGTATGGCTCATCAACTTAATCCCACAGTGTAACAAAGGTATTAATTAGATCAAAATTGATTTTTTTTTTCTTTTGTTTTTATAATTGAAAATCGGCGAAATCTATTTTNNNNATCCCCACGTTCATCTTGGGATCGAGCCCCAGCCGTCACCAAGCCCACCCAGCCACCCAGGGAGACCGACCAGTGATCGGGGGAATGGGCCCATCCGGATCAAGGCCATAGGAAATCAAAATAAAGGGTTTACATAAAAATGGTTTTATTTTCATTTTATTTTTTTATTGAAAATAGACAATGGATTCTTTTATCTTATAAATTATTTTAAGTTGAGGAGAGAAACCAAACCCTAGATTCTCGCTCGCATCAATGGCGCTTTCTCCTCCAGTTTATCCTCCTCCCTTGTTTCATGGAATCGCTGGATTCAAATCCAGCGTAGATTACGCAGCCTCTACCAACAAAGTCGTCTTTCAAAGGCGATCCGAATAGCGTGGAGTATTTTGTGCCGAGGCGAAAGATCTATACCCCTCAGTCGGATCCATTGGCAGCGAATCCAACGGAGATCTGTATCTCCCGTCATCCTCGCTGCATGTCTCCTCATCCTCGCTCCACGTACCGTCATCATCATCTCCATATTTCTCGTCAGTGAAGGTGGTAATCCTGTAATCTTTTGCCTTTATTTTCTCGAAAACAATCAGTGTCTCTGGTCCTTCAATTGATTTGCCAGCGTTGATGTATTTAACATTTCTTACCAATTCTGATTCTGAAGCCCTTAATTTATACGATGTAAAGATTGAGATGGATATACAGGTTAACATGTGTAGATATAGGATGCACATTAGAAGTAAACAATGACATGTCACATATCATATGGTCTGATGCCCCTGTATCTAATATCCATGTATATGTATCATGAGTAGAATATGCAGAACATATTGTAGAAGTGGGTATACCTGTTGCAGAGCTAGGTTGAGTGACACAAGCATTAGCTACAGCAGGAGAGTGATTGACTTCAGATGGTGAGGCATTAGATTTCTCATAAGACTTTTTAAAAGCTAAGAATTCATGAAAGAAATGGTCAGTCATTGAAGAATCATTCATAGCAAGAGAATTGGGGTGTGATGATGTCACAGAATTAGCAGACAGAATGCCAAATAGTAGAAGAAACATGTGAATTACACATCAGTCATAATATGGGTATCTTATTGTTCTTATTGTTAGTATATATTCAGAGAAGTTTAGTAATCCTTATGTTAATTCTTGGCAAATGAGGCAGAGTTTAAATTGCTTGTTCCGAATAACAGGAATCATTAGTCTTAGCGAGGGAATCCATTAAACAGCAGAGGCTTGGCTTCAAAAATCCGAATGTGAAGCCAGATGACTTTGCAGTGTCACATTCCATTCCGGCGGCACTTAAATTGTTCCATCCATCGGACACATCGTGGAGTGTTATTAAGTCGCTGCATTTTTTTGGTGTGAAAGGGAAAGCGCACGAGGAATTCAAAAACAAGACGGCTGGTACTTTTGATATGGCAAATCTTGGGCCAATTAGGGAAGTCCTAAACTTTAGTTGCCCTGATATAAAAAATGATATAAAAAATGCAGGAGAAGGATATGATGATTACTATGGGAACCGGTGACGCAAGCATGGAAAATATTTGCCCTTCAAGTTTGCCTTGCACTAATTAATAATTTGCTTCATCAATCCTTCTTTACTTGATCATTCTCTTAAATCATCATCTAACACATTTCATTCGTGCATTCGTCTAGCCTTTTTTAGAGATCTTATTTTTAACAAAATACATTTTAAACTAAATTATATATATATATATATATATGTATTAAAATAATAACTTACGACTTCGTTACATCGTGNTATATATATATATATATATAAGCATTAAAGTAATAACTTACGACTTCGTTACATCGTGGGTAAAACAGGTAATCGTCCTCGCAACACCCACGATATTTTTCTTCTGTGTCAAGCATTCCAGTCATGTCTTCTTTAATAATGAAGCGAAAGCCAGTTAACACTAAACCAGGATCTATTGAGACAGGGCGTACGTTAAGCTGAAGCTGTACTTTAGACCCAAGCGCAATTCACAGATTCTGAGTTCTTCAATGCATGAACTAACCAATACTTGCACTAAGGAAGCCTTTATCAATCTGCCTACTGGTATACACATCAGTCATAACACTTAAGCTCCATCCCACTATGTGTATACCAGTAGGCAGATTGATAAAGGCTTCCTTAGTGCAAGCATTGGTTAGTTCATGCATTGAAGAACTCAGAATCTGTGAATTGCGCTTGGGGTCTAAAGTACAGCTTCAGCTCAACGTACGTCCTGTCTCAATAGATCCTGGGTTAGTGTTAACTGGCTTTCGCTTCATTATTAAAGAAGACATGACTGGAATGCTTGACACAGAAGAAAAATATCGTGGGTGTTGCGAGGATGATTACCTGTTTTACCCACGATGTAACGAAGTCGTAAGTTATTATTTTAATACTTTTATATATATATATATATAATTTAGTTTAAAATGTATTTTGTTAAAAATAAGATCTCTGAAAAAGGCTAGACGAATGCACGAATGTAATGTACTGAAGAATGTGAAATGTGTTAGATGATGATTTAAGAGAATGATCAAGTAAAGAAGTATTGATGAAACAAATTATTAATTACTGCAAATTTAATATGTTTTATCAAAAAATGAAAAGGAAATTCTCTAATGCTCTATTGCAAGAGCTGTAAGTATGTTTTAGTGATTTCTAGAAGCATGAATTCATGTCATCTTTTGAAAGTAACTGTTTTATGTTTGATTGGATCTTTTGAACAAACATACGACTTGTATGCTGGTCGTTCAGTTTAAATATTTATTCATGCTTTCAGCTTATAACTTCATAACGAAGACTCAATCATTCTTGTAACTTGTAACTTATATCAGGGATTTTGTATGTTCCATACATGGCTCTCTTGCCCTGCTAGTAAGTCTTTAACTTGGAAGTTCTAGTGGATTTTATAAATGAAGTTCTTGTTATACTCAGGCCATTTTCAGTTAATTGTTTTTGCATAAATTTACAGCGGGCCTAAAATTAAGTCATTTGATTGAATTTAATATTTTTCTTGTTTGCCAATTCTCTTAGATTGTATATTTCTCTTTTATCCTTTCTTCCTTTTTCGTTTTCTGTAGTTGCTCTGTTTAAGAATATTCATTCCGTTGATATCTTATTCTACTCTTTCTAAGATATTCATTCTGTTGATATTTTTTTCTTTTCCTATAGTGTTGTTATGTGTCTTTATATAATTTTTTTGAGAATGGTTCACATTAAATTTAATCCACAAGCACACCAGCACTCATATATATATATACACGCATATATGTGCTTGTGTGTGTGTGTCACATGAGAGTTCTAGTTGATTTGGGATATGTCTGTTCACTTTCATATATATGTGGGTCTGTGTGTATATATATATATATTTAAATTGATTTTTTTTTAGGGAGATATCTTAAAACCTGGCCTACAAAAAGGTAAGTTCTATACGGTGCTGAAAGGTAAGTTCTATAGGACGGCGATTCGCCCAGCGATGCTATACGGTGCTAAATGTTGGCCTAGAAAAAGGCAACATGTCCAACAACTAAGTGTAGCAGAGATGCGTATGTTGCGTTGGTTCTGCGGGCACACAAGAAGGGATAGAATCCGGAATGAGGATATTCGAGATAGGGTCAGGGTGGCTCTAATTGAGGAGAAATTGGTTCAACATCGGCTGAGGTGGTTCGGACATGTCCAACGGAGGCCTCCTGATGAATCGGTGCGTAGGGGAGTTCTACAGCGGGTCGAAGATGTTAAGAGAGGTAGAGGTCGGCCTAAACTCACTTGGGAAGAGTCGGTTAAGAGAGACCTTATAGATTGGAATATCTCCAAGGATCTAGCGGTGGATAGGAGCGTTTGGAGGCTCGCTATCAACGTGCCAGAACCGTGACTTTTGCTCCTTTCTCTCTCTCTCGTTTTGTTTTTTTTTTTGGGTAGATAATAAAAATACATAATGAAATACTTCAAAAGCTTGATTCCCTTTTGGGTAGATAATAAAAAGAGGAGACGGGCAATTTATCAAAAGGATCAGTCTTGCATTCTACATATGCTCAGCAAAAATTGAGTGACCTCAAAAGCAGAAATACAGTTTTTAAGAAAATAAGCATACCGGATTAAGCTAAAGTCTTATACAAATTTTATATAACTCCTGTGACACCTCCAACAATTATCTACTCAAATGCAATTCCAGATTAGGACTATCCACAACATTTCACATTTCAAAAGAAATTCTAGCAAATAAATGTTCCATTTCACTTGAAACATATTGACATACGAAAAAAGTTCTACAATTTATATATATTGCCAGTGATGCACAAATCATAAAGCAATTGACAGTACGACTGCAAAATTCTCACCATAAATTAATTAAATAAGAAAAAGTATCGAAACCCTAGCCAAACAAATTAAAAGGAGCTCTTATCCACCATAAACCCATATGCTCATGCATCAGAATAAAGAACCTGTTGACTTCGTTGTCGCGTTCAATCTTGCTAACTTCCGCGAAGAATTTTTTGAGTAGCAGATCACCGTCGACGGCGGTGCCGGTGGCGGAGGAGGTGATTCCACTGATATCACCCATAAGAGCTCTGTTGATTTTCTCCACAAATTACAAAATTTAATTGAATTAATTAAACCATATGAGGCAATCAGGCAGACATTTCTGTTTATGGGCTTGACTTAGGACCGGAGTCTATTGCTTAAGTCAGCAAATTCCTCTAAATAGGGAAACCATTTTCACTGGAGAGCTAAATGTTATTTTTTCAGAAGCTCGAATTTTTGAGCTTCAGTTCAATTTTTTGAACAGGTGAGCATGTGCCTCTATGTACTTTTATAGTAACAGAGCATGTTTTTTATTCTTCTGATGCTGCATAACAGGCTCGAGACTGTTATGCTCTGTGTACTTTTCAAGGCTCGAGCCTTGAACCGGATGGACTGTTATGTGGGTATCATTAAATCATGTGAAGTAGTTTGGTGTTTGACTTGGATTAATGTAACATCTTGTTTGCAAAAATTTGTTTGTGAGAATCTTTGTACACAAACAACAAAGATAGTAAATTACAGAATATTTGAATAACCTGTAGGTCACATAAATTTCATACTTAATGCTCAACAGCTTCAGTTGATTTGGGATATGTCTGTTCACTTTCATATATATGTGGGTCTGTGTATATATATATACATATATATTTAAATTGATTTTTTTTTTTAGGGAGATATTTTAAAACCTGGCCCGGTAGTAATTGATGAAGCTGAATTGGCCAGTAGGGGTCCAGAGGTATCACTTTTATCAACCAAACACTCCTCTTACCTTTTTTTATCAACCTTTTATCAACCAAATACTCATATTTGAGGGTGACTTTGAAGAGCAGTATATGGATTTTATTTCTGGTATGGATCATAATTAAGTGTAATATTTTTTACTTTGACTGATGAATCATTAAGATTAATAAAATGGAGGATTTTGATATTTATTTTTCAGACTTCTATTCAATTGAAGCTGAGCTGATGAAGCATTCACCGTCTTGAAGACGTCTCCCACTTATTTCCCGTAAATGGATCTGATAATGAATTGGTGTAAATCGTGTTTTTTTGTTAAGTACTAAGAGTACTATGGTTCTGTTGTTTTTTACTAGTGTTGGTGGTGATCGGCCATCGAGTGCTTGTTGTTGACCTTCGTCCATGTTCCCATCTTATAGACTCATACCATCTTAATGTTTGTATATAAGCTGATGTTCTACATCTTATAATCTGTAGAACATCAGCTTATATACAAACATTAAGATGGTTCATGTCTATAAGATGGGAACATGGACGAAGGTCAACAACAAACACTCGTTTTTCAAAATCATGGATTACAGAACAATTGAATAATCTGTAGAACATCAGCTTATATACAAACATTAAGATGGTTCATGTCTATAAGATGGGAACATGGACGAAGGTCAACAACAAGCACTCGATGGCCGATCACCACCAACACTAACACTGGTAAAAAACAACAGAACCATAGTACTCTTAGTACTTAACAAAAAACACGATTTACAGCAATTCATTATCAGATCCATTTACGGGAAATAAGTGGAAGACGTCTTCAAGACGGTGAATGCTTCATCAGCTCAGCTTCAATTGAATAGAAGTCTGAAAAATAAATATCAAAATCCTCCATTTATTAATCTTAATGATTCATCACTCAAAGTAAAAAATATTACACTTAATTATGATCCATACCAGAAATAAAATCCATATACTGCTCTTCAAAGTCACCCTCAAATACCTGAAAGAAAAGAAAGGAGTATTTGGTTGATAAAACAAGGTAAGAGGAGTATTTGGTTGATAAAAGTGATACCTCTGGACTACTGGCCAATTCAGCTTCATGGCCAGGTTTTAAGATATCTCTCTAAAAAAAAATCAATTTAAATATATATATATACACAGACCCACATATATATGAAAGTGAACAGACATATCCCAAATCAACTGAAGCTGTTGAGCATTAAGTATGAAATTTATGTGACCTACAGGTTATTCAGATATTCTGTAATTTACTATCTTTGTTGTTTGTGTACAAAGATTCTCACAAACAAATTTTTGCAAACAAGATGTATTTACATTAATACAAGTCAACACCAAACTATTCACATGATGTAATGAAGATACCCACATAACAGTCCATCCGATTAAAGGCTCGAGCCTTGAAAAGTACACAGAGCATAACAGTCTCGAGCCTGTTATGCAGCATCAGAAGAATAAAAAACATGCTCAAAGTTTGTAGGTTACTATAAAAGTACATAGAGGCACCTGCTCACCTGTTAAAAAAATTGAACTGAATTTTTGAGCTTCTAAAAAATAACATTTAGCTCTCCAGTGAAAATGGTTTCCCTATTTAGAGGAATTTGCTGACTTAAGCAATAGGCTCCGGTCCTAAGTCAAGCCCATAAACAGAAATGTCTGCCTGATTGCCTCATCTGGTTTAATTAATTCAATTAAATTTTGTAATTTGTGGAGAAAATCAACAGAGCTCTTATGGGTGATATCAGTGGAACCACCTACTCCGGCATCGCCATCGACGATGATCTGCTACTCAAAAAATTCTTCGCGGAAGTTAGCGAGATTGAACGCGACAACGAAGTTAACAGGTTCTTTATTCTGATGCATGAGCATATGGGTTTATGGTGGATAAGAGCTCCTTTTAATTTGTTTGGCTAGGGTTTCGATACTTTTTCTTATTTAATTAATTTATGGTGAGAATTTTGCAGTCGTACTGTCAATTGCTTTATGATTTGTGCATCACTCGCAATATATATATAAATTGTAGATTTTTTTCGTATGTCAATATGTTTCAAGTGAAATGGAACATTTATTTGCTAGAATTAATGTTGTGGATAGTCCTAATCTGGAATTGCATTTGAGTAGATAATTGTTGGAGGTGTCACAGGAGTTATGTAAAATTTGTATAAGACTTAAGCTTAATCTGGTATGCTTATTTTCTTAAAAACTGTATTTCTGCTTTTGAGGTCACTCAATTTTTGCTGAGCATATGTAGAATGCAAGACTGATCCTTTTGATTAACTGCCCGTCTCTTCTCTTTTTATTATCTACCCAAAAGGGGATCAAGCTTTTGAAGTCTTTCATTATGTATTTTATCTATTGATTGCTGACCCATGTTGTTACTTGTTCCAAGTGCTTGAGCACTTGAGTTTCAAAACCTCTTTTAGTTATATATCCAGAGGTTATCGGCCTATTGGATCCAATGGCACTTGGGATACCTGGCTTGTAGGTGTCTTTGAAACCATAAGAATTTCTGAAGAAATAGCAATGACATTCACTTATATGTTATAATTGACTTTTTCCATAAATAATTTCTTCGAGTATATTCTGTATAGCAAGACATCTACCTGTTGCAATCCATATTACTGATTCTGTATCCAGGTAATGGAGTGTTCTATATACAATCTTTTAATAGAAAATTAGAATCTTTATTTTGTGTGCACTGTGACTCCAAACAATCCGATGCTTTAATGGTGTCAGAGCATCCATGGTGTAGAGCTTATTTGCCATTAATGGAATGTGTTTGGGTTCAAGTTTTATCAATTCCCCTATTGTAAATTACAGACGAGTTAAATATTCCTAGTTTCTTCTCTCTAAAGCTATAGAAGCAAATATTTATGTGTTTTGGAGATAATTATGTATTTTGGTTTCCAAGTGAATGTAGGGTGAGCCATTGGTGTTAGTGTGCTGTGTGTTACCTTTATTTGTCTGTTCTGGTGACGGTGTAAGATTTTCACCTGAAGTCTAGTTCCTGTTGCCTTTGTCATTTTTTATTCCTCAATGGTTATAAACCTCCTGTTACTTGAAAATTTACTGAGATTCTTTTGTGTGTTTTGACATTTCCTTTGTTGTCTCCAATAGGATCCTTTCGCGCTTCAAGTTAAATGCTTTTGAGTACCTGAACCTACCATTTGATTCCTCTGTAGATGTTGTGAAAAGGCAATATCGTAAGGTATTGTCTAGATCTTGTCAAGTTGTCCTTATCGCGTGTGTTTTGTTTCACTGAGGAATAACAAATTGCTTTTACTGCTGGGTTAGTGTAATTCCAATTCAATTTTTAGATTACATTGTTTTAGCTGCTTCTATGGAAGCTGTGTAGTGTGGATCTTAATTCTGATAAAATTTTGAAATCACATAGTTTTGTTTGTGGACAGCATTGGCAAAAGCTCAACAATTATTACTCGACCCACAAGAGAGAGATTATATATTGAATCAAGTTACTGCCGCCAAAGGTTAGTTCCCTCTCTCCACTCTCTCTCAATGTTTTTTTTTTATTTATTTTTTCAAATCATTATTTGCTATTGGGACCTTCTGCTCTTTCGTATCCTGAAGTACTTATACATCAAACTTTGTAAAAAACAATTGAGGGAAACCATAAAGTTGGAATTTAGTTATCAGAAAATGGGAATATAAACTGTCAGACAGACATAAGAATAAAAGGTCTTCCACTACTTTGGGGAATCTGGCCTTGCATGAAAGTCTCTGACCTCTCTTTCAGGGACTGGTGATTGACAGTTTTTATCTTGACTTGAATTAGTAGTTGCCTCCACCAGTCTGTGTTTGATTGCTTCTGTTTTTTTTTCATCTTTGTTAGTTGTTATGGAGCAACCTGGTTTCAGCTTTTCCTACTCTCATAGTAATCCAAGTAAGCCGATTTTGTTGCCCTTACCCTTCACTTGCGCAATCTTTTACTTGATTTGATATTCAAATTATTGGTTTTTTTTTGTTTCTATATTTCTATTTTATTGTAGAAATTTCAACTGTAATTACCTGGGAAAAAATAAAATTTATCCTTTTACTGGGAACATTCCTATGGAATCTTTTCAGCTTCATATTTGACCTTCCTCACTCAGATAATTTATATTTTCACAGAAATTGCTTTAATTTGCATAATTGCATAAGGTCTGACAAAATTAAAGATAGGAACATGTCTAGACTTCAAAATATTTCTCCTGTATGTTTTTGTTTTCTGGTACTTTTGATACGAGAAATCTGTAAATGTGCTCATGCTTCTAAATATGTAATGCAGAAGAACTTCGGGCAAAGAGGAAGAACCAGCTGAAGAAAGACACCGCAACCAAGATAAAGTCGCTAGTGGATGAGGTAAAAGTTATATCTTAATTTGCATGATTGATCGGTAGATTTAAGTATATGCTTTAGTGCCTGAAAAATGTTATCCTCCTTTCTGTGGGGTTATCTGATTGAATTAATAACTGCAAAGAGATAACTACAAACATATTCTGTTTTTCTGTTGAACATCGACAGGGAAAATATGAGCAGGAATATGAAATATCAGAGGAATTTCAGCAACAGTTAAAATTGAAAGTCGGAGAAATCCTAACTGATCAAGAGTGGAGGAGAAGGATGATGCAAATGATGGTATTCCACATTACTGTTTAGTGACAAATTTCTTATTCAGAATTCCCACTTCATTTAATTTTTTTTATTGTTGTAGATATCAGAGGAGGAAGGTAGATTAAACGAAGAAGAAACCAAAGAGATGTGGAAACGAAAACGTGAACACGAGGAGCAATGGGAAGGCACTCGTGAACAGAGGGTTAGTTCTCTCGTGCATTTTATCTCGTATTATTATTATTATTTTTTAGGTACATGTTGTAGATAATGTGATGTTATCGGCTTTAGTTTTCTTGTTCCCATTGGACATGTAACAAGGGAAATTCATTAAAGAAACAAAGAAGAATATACTAATACAGGTTTTGGTTTCTTAAAAATTTAAATCATTGAACTTCCTCAGGTTTCAAGCTGGAGGGACTTTATGAAAGGTGGAAAAAAGGTAACATCTTTATTTTCTTTTTTTTTTTTTTTTTTTCCTTTTCCCTTTCCTTCTCTTTCAGGAAAAAAGTTGCTAAAGCGTTTTACTTTTTTGTGGTATTCTAGGTTAAAAAAGGAGAGCTCCGACCTCCAAAGCTTAAGACAGAGGATGCAAACAAATCGTATGTTCAAATGCCAGTAAAACGAGGATGATCATCACCGCCTTTGTACTTCTTCCAAATTAACCAGGTAGTTGCCCAAGAAATTTTTGAATTTGTAGAAATCGTTTTGCACAACATGTACTAAATTGAGATATCCACTTGAATCATCTACAGCTATTGTAATTTACAATGTTCCCTTAATGGCACAGTCAAGAATCTCGTGCAATTAATGTCTGTTAACGTTATTTTTAATTTTAGATGCATATATGTTTGCTTAGCATTGGTATGAGCAGAACTTAAAATTGAACCCAACAAAAAAAAAAGAAAAAAGAAACATGGGAATGTTATAAAACTAGAGAGAAAGAGAGAGAATAGAGAAAATGTATTCTCTTAGGTGTGTTTTTCATTATAACTGAAGCTCCTATTTATAGGAAACTCCTGATGGCACAATTTGTAATAATACAAATACATCGAGGGCAAAATAGTCATTCACATACATTATTTTATTATTTCATAACACTCCCCCTTGAATGACTATTTTCTAAACATATTTTAACTGATTTGAACAAAGCCTAATCTGCACATCTTCAAGTGTATCTTGTGGTCATCAGGTACCGTTGCTTCAGCACGTCAGGAAAACCCGGTAGGACAAAACCTGATCATCTTGAAATCATAACATTGTTTCTTCAGGAAAACCCAGTGGGATAAAACCTGAGCATTGTGGAAGCACAATATAGCTCCCCCTCAAATAGATCATCTTTAGTGGAATATCCATGTGCTGCCTCGTTAAAACCTTGTCAAGAAAACCCAGTGGGAAAAAACTTGATCGAAGGAAAAAGAGTACAGCTACTCCAGTATTTCTTATCATCTTGAAGAATCATATCATTTACCCAGTAGTCCTCATCATACCATGAATATGCCTCGTTAAAACCTTATTAGGAAAAACCCAGTGGGACAAAATCCTAATGAAGGAAAAAGAGTACACTATTCATGTGAATACGCCATCCTTGTTGCCTCATTAAAAACCTTGCTAGGAAAACCCAATGGGACAAAACCTCAGCCAAGGGAAAAAGAGTACAACGCGTATTTCATATATTCACCATAATAATCTTTCCATAATTTGCATGAGTATCATATAAATTCTTTCGGATTTGTAGATACTGATGGTATTCACGACAATATGTCATATCATGCTTTGTGCAATTTTTATTCTTAAACTCATTCTCATCATCAATTGATTTCAATGGTCTTATTGCCAATAATTCCCAATACTCACATTTCAGCTGATTTCATTTTCAACAATATTATTTATATAGCGCTATTTGTTTATGTCGACACTTATTCATCTCCATTATTCTCCGTAGTATATTGAGATATCTCACTATCAATTGATTTCATCAATATATATGCCTCCTTTCATCACTTATTTGGGGGATTTCAATTTGCACAATGTTAACGCTTCCAGCGTATTATTCCATCAACATATCATTTCATATATTTCATATCATCAGTATCATACAGTTTATGATTCGCACACTCTCAGTGTGATGCATATATCATTTCCAAATTTCAATCATTGATTCTCCCCCTTATCTTAACAGATCCCTGATCTGTATTTTTAGTATTGAATTTCTTGAGGGGAGTTCATATAGTCTCTATTTTGTTCTCGATTTCAACATATATTTGGAGGACTTTGAACTCATATCATTTGTAGTGTGCACATTTTTCTTTCAAGAGTTCATCATATCAGGTGAGTATATTACTAGCTTCATCACTTTCATATGACACTTATTTTCATTCTTTCATAATCATCTT